ATATATATTTATGCTTGAAAATTAGTCTGAGACATTAAATGAACCCTTGTATAAGTAATTAACACAGTATTGAATGTCACCAAATTAATCTGTTGTGAGTTGCTTAAAATTTCAGACTAAGGTTCTGTGATCGTTGCTTCTAAACATATGTTCCATGCATGCTATCATTGAATATCAGTGGTTCAAATATGTACCTAGGACTGAGATTGAACCTAGAATAAAAATTAAAACATGTTACAGAGGCTCTGGTAATCACTGGAATCAGAGAAAACGAAGCTGGAACGGACAACGGCTGCTAAGGGAGGGAGAGCAGGCTCCCAAAACCCTTAGAGCCGGCTCCCAAAGAGTTGGAGCCGGCTCTAAGTGATTTAGAGCAGGCTCGAAAAGTTTTAGAGCAGGCTTCAAATGGTTTTGAGCAGGCTCAAAGTTTTAAAAGAGCCTGCTCTATCTTAAAACGCACAGAACTGAGTTTTAGGGACTTTTTGGCTGAAATTGGATTTTCTAAAATTATTTAAAGGCTACTGGATGTTGTAATTTAATGTTTAAGACTTGTAAAAATGTTGGGAAGTATGATTACAAATAGGAACTAAGAACGGAATTAATCTAAGATTAAACACTGAACCCGTGGGTGGATGATTTGAAAATTAATTTCTATTGTCTACTATTTTTGGAATTTTATTTCTTTGCATGACTTGGATTTATAAATCATGTTTTGCAGCTGTGTTATAAGTATACTGTTGTATAGTTATATGTATGCTTAGTTGGGATCAACTGGTGTTAAAATCTATTTTACATTGCATCAGTTATGGTACTGTTTGGAGAGGTAGATTGTGTAATTCTACTCTATCAATTTAACGGACTGTAATTGGGATTCTAAATCTTATATTGAATGCATAAGTTGGTTATATACATGTTAAACTATATTTATGCTAATTCTGGAGTATGGTTGATAAATACTTATTTTTGTTTTTGTCAACTTCGTTAATTGGAGGATTGTATGTACCGGTATGGGACGGTGACATATTAGGTATAAATTAGTCAATCACTAAATCTTACCTACTTTGGATTAAGGTATGGATTAACCCTATGAGTTAAGTCCATCACCTACTTGTGTCATGTCAACAAAATAGTTGAATGACTTAATATGGTTTCAGGACGGATGGATATACATATACCAGACCACCACATAGATGGATGGTATTATGTATTAGGAGGAGTATGGACTTTATATATATATATATTATATGTGCCATGGTATGAGCTTGAGTCTCAAGACCATGGTTAGGGCGCGTATATTGCCTAGGATGGATAACTGGACATAGGTGTTGTTCCCTGGTAGGTCTACGTACTCATGCCCACCCTAAGGTGCGTATTCGCATGTTGCCTTCTATTCAGGCTGAGACAAACCTACTGGACTAGCGAGCGTCCTATAGTGTGTACTATATACATATATTGACTATTCTATTTATTGTTGAGTCTTCCTAGGATGTATCTGCGTATCAGATTACTGTTTGGATTGTAATAGATCAGGACTTGCATGTGGGCCTGACCCACTTCTTTATTTTTCAGGTGCTCGTTAGTTCCAGGGTTAGAGTTTGGACGTGCAAAGCAGATACAACTATTCACTCCTCCGATTATGTAGGAATTTTTCTCTATGTTAGCTTTGGATTTTGTTTTTATTATTTTAGTATCGTTTGGAGAATTTAAATAAGGGGTCCAATGGATGGATTCCCGAGTTGTAAACTGATGGAGTTTTGAAGTTTGGGTTTGATGGATTTTAATAATTATAATATTTTGCAGATTCTGTTTTTAGTTCCTTTCAGCTTTAATTTCATTTCTTAATTCATTTTGTATTCCGTGTTCATTATAAATACTTTAATTGTTTGATATTCCCTCGGGCTCGGGCCTGGGCCTGATCAACCCGTGTCTTGGATCCGAGGGGTATCACAAAGTTCGTAAAATATATTTTCCTTTTTAAAGGGCGAGTTGAATGAAGCTCGTAATTGCCATTCCCCATATTATGAGGGATTGATATAAAAGTGCCCCGTACTATAAGGGCCTGAGCTGAAAGAAGCTCGTGATTGTTGTCCTTTGTATTAAAAGGGGTCGAAATAAAAAATCAACCTGTAAAATATACTTCCTTTTTTAAAGGGCGAGCTGAGTGAAGCTCGTAAAATATATTTTCCTTTTTAAAAGGCGAGCTGAGTAAAGCTCGTAAATATATTTAAAAGGTAAGCTCATTCAGCTTAAGAAAGCCTACTCCCTCAGCTCATGAAGTTCGGACAAATCTTAAGAGATCAAAAAAAAAAAAGGGTCGCCCAACAAGGATCAACCTAAAAAGAGATTGATTTATGCTAAAGAGACGTCACTCAAAAAAACACTTTGACATTCTCGATGTTTGACAAGCAAGCACGAGAATGGGGGGTAACTGATAAGGATAAAAATAATAGGCAACTCAAAGTCAAAAGAGAAATAAGATAAGAGTAAGGGATTTATCTTACCAAAAATCTCCATGGAATCATAAAAAATATCTGGACGATATCATCTTAGATTAGGGAGAATCTCGTTTCAACAACTATTACCATTAATGCTTCTATAAAAGAGATGATTGGTCAATCTAAAAAGGTATGCCATAAATTTTACATGTAATCCTTATCGGATATTAAATCATCAAGTACTAACTTGACCGTCGGAGTGCATCCAGCCGGCACCACGTCGGTCATCACTTCTCCTGTTTTGCAAGAATCGTCACTGACTCCGGAGCGTGTAGATTTTTGGTATCAACATTAATAATGATTGTATAATTAGATTTACTTTTATTAAAAAACTCATAATAAATAGATAAATAGATTTCATTTTATTAAAAAAATCATAAATAGGTAATTTGTGTTAAAGTTTTATAAAAACTCTTTTAAAATATTTTTTTATATCAATTAATAATTTTTTTTTTATATTGATAATACTTGTCTAATGAGATTTTCTTTTATTAAAAAACTCATAATAAATAGATAAATAGGTAATTTGTGTTAGAGTTTTATAGAAACTCTTTAAATATATTTTTGTCTTGTGTGATAAAGTTCTATTGAAAATAAAATAGGTAATTTGTGATAGAGTTTTATAGAAATTATTTTATTTTCTCTAAATATATGCTTATATAATTATATTTAATTTTATTAAGAAACTCATAATAAACACTAATTTGTGGAAGAGTTTTAGAAAATTTATTTTATTTTATATATCAATTAATAAATATTTTTTATTTTAATAAATTTTTTTATTAAAAAACTCATAATAAATAGATAAATAGATTTCCTTTTATTAAAAAACTCATAATAAATAGATAAATAGGTAATTTGTGTTAGAGTTTTATAGAAACTCTTTTAAAATCTCTTTTGATATCATTTAGTAAATAATTTTTTATATTAATAATACTTGTCTAATTAGATTTTCTTTTATTAAAAAACTCATAATAAATAGATAAATAGGTAATTTGTGTTAGATTTTAATAGAAACTCTTTAAATATATCTCTGTCTAGTGTGATAGAGTTTTATTGAAAATAAAATAGGTAATTTAAGATAAGAGTTTTATAAAAATTATTTTATTTTCTCTAAATATATCATTGTCTAATTAGATTTAATTTTTTTAAGAAACTTATAATAAAAGCTAATTTGTGGAAGAGTTTTAGAAAAATTATTTTTATTTTTTATATCAGTTAATAAATATTTTTTATTTTAGTAATTATTGTCTAATTAGATTTTCTTTTATTAAAAAATTTCATAATAATAAATAGATAAATAGTTTAATTTAAATTTTATTAGTTAGATTTTAGTTTTATAGAGTTTTTATTTTTTATTATTTATAAAAACTCTTTTCATATCATCAATTAATAAATATTTTTTTATATAAATAAATAAATACTTAAATACTGCAACTCTTTGTACATTTAATAATTGTATAGATAAAAATATTTTTTTTTATCAATTAATAAATATTTTTTTATAAAAATAAATAAATATTAAAACTCTTTGCAGAACTTCAAGGAATTCTTAATTTCTAAAATTCTCAATTTTTGTACTCCTTTCTCCTTTTTCCATGCTTCTATTTATAGGCTTATAAGATTAATAATAGTATAGATTTGTATTATTAACAGTAGTATATTATTTTGAAGCACAATATAATGTGGAAAAAAGAAATACAAATCAAAATAAAGTGCAAAATACATTATTAAATTGTTTTAGGAACATAATAATTTTATCAAAATACATTGAAAATAAATATCATAGATGAACGGTCGTGATTTAGCTGCGTCCAATCGGGACCGTCATATTCTAAAACATTCTAGATAGTTCCGCACCAAATTGGCACAAAAGAGTAGTATCAAATCGCTGCCGCAACTCAAAACCCTAAATATCCTAAAAACCCTATCCCCGACTTCTATATAACCATGTTTTATTCCTCCCGGTACAAATTGTCTCTCTCTCTCTCTCTCTCTCTCTCTCTCTCTGACTCTCACACACACAGACACACACACACAGAGCCTTCTTTAGGGGCTTGAGAGCCTCTTAAAACCCTAAGTCCCTATGGCTTGAAATATCGTGTTCTTTCTGTCATATCAGATCTCTGCTTCCCTTTCATGGATGTTCAGTTGGTTAGGTTTTTAATTCAATTATGTATCTATTTGTTGATGTTTTGATATATATATATATATATATATATATATATATTTTTTTTTTTTTTCTGTAATTTTTATATTGCCCTTGTGTGTGAGTGTCAGTGATGACAAATTGAAAGGCCTGTTTCTCAAAAACATTCGCAGGGCCGCCAGACTTGAGATCTCGCCTTAGCCGGGCTTGAGGACTCATGAAGTTCAATCCTTCCTTGGATGTCTGAGACACACCACACCACACCATCTCTCTCTCTCTCTGTATATATACACATATTATATTGTATATAGTTAATATATATATATATACATGTTGATGTTATTTAGGGTTTGATTGATCTATGATGATAAATCCAAAAGGCTTGTTTCTCAAAACATTCGCAGGGCCGCCTAAATCTTTCGCCTTTCGCCGGGCTTGAGAGATAATGCAGCTTCTATCCTTCCTTGGATGTCTGAGACTGAATTATTTTAGTAGCTTAATTTCTTATTTTTTTATATTTTGTTTATTAATTTACTTCTATATTTTTTACGTTATTGAGATTTTTTTTTTTTTTTACTACATTATTATTTTTAAATTTAGTTAGTGTTTATTTTTTGAAAGTTATATTTTTAGATTTTAAGTACTTTCATATCGGATAATAATTGTTTTGTTTACTCCTCTGGCATATTTTGGTATACAAATTTTAGCTATGTACCCGGAAAAATATTAATATTTTAAAATAAAAATAATATAATATGATATGAATTTTAAAAAAATTACAATAAAAATACGACTGTCACATCCCAAATTATTATTATTTTTTTTTCTAAAAAAGCAATTTTCTTTTTTTTGTTCAAGGGAAAAATATAAAAGGCCCATAAATTTATTTCCAAAAAACGGGTATTAGCCTATTTTTAGAGATTTCGTGCCTTTTTTAGTGATTGGGTTAGTCCAATGGAGTTTTCAAAATATGTTATTTTTTGGGTTGTGGTAACGCGACTTCCAGAATAAATTTAAGGGCGTTTTGTAGCGCTACCATTGTTGTGTTTTTCCTAATGGTAATGTTTTTGGGTTAGTCAGAATAGCTACTTAAGAAAAAATGTAAAAAAGCAAAATAAAATATTAGTAATAATTTTGGGGAGCAAAAGTAAGAATTTTTGTTTAAAACAGAATAAAGTGTTTTATTATTTGATTTGCTTTGGCAATCAACTTCATCCTCATCCGTGGATGAAGATAATTTCCGTCACTTTCATCCAGTTGATCAGAAAACGTTGCAACTCCACTTCACTTTTAAGAGAAATCCTCTGCGACTCGGCCACCATAGCATGGGGTTCCACTCAACCGTCTCTTTCCGCTGTAGGAGTCTCTCCCTACTTCAACTCCTCTCTAAAATTATATATTAACAAACATCAAAAAGTAGACAGTGAAAGCCCCAATTTTACAAGTTGCCGGCTAAACATAACGGTGAGTTCAGGTATGGTATCTCGACAAGTACAACCATCCAACCATCCACGAATAGAAGAACACGATTGTTCCTAATTGTGGTAGTGGTATCTCGACAAGCACAACCATCCACGAATAGAATAGATCTTTAGGATTTAATTCTACAAAATTGAAACTCGCGATTTGGGTCTCTAGGATTTTATTCTACGGGAAAGATATCTCACGGTAGTTGATAGCGAGCGATGAAGGAGAGGAATTTTTAGTCACTCGGCCTGTTGCTTTCAATAGTGTTAGAACAATTTGAAAAATATGGGCCAAAAGTTGAAATAAGAAAATGGTGTTTTATGTTGTTCCAAAAATGGCCCGGCCCATTTTTCACTATAGCAGGGCCAACAAACAACCAATAAAGCACAGAAATAAAAATTAGATCTCTCCACTCTTGTCTTTCTTCCTCCTTCCAACCTCTCAGGCAAAAAACCTGTAATCCTCGGCTTCCTCTTTTTCTCCTTCATCTGGTCCGCACCCGGAGGCCTCATTGCTGCCTAGATCGCCACTGCCTCCCCCAACAACGACACCACCGTGCCTTCTATCATGATGACCTAGAAATTCCTCTCCGGCATCCTTCGCCGCATTGATTACCGCAAGTTTCAATTTTGTAGAATAAAATTCTAACCCAAATCATTTGAGATGCAAAGCTTTTCAATTTGGGGGTTCATGGTGTTCTTTAATTCGTGGATGGTTGTGCTTGTGGATATATCACAGTCGTGTGATTGTTTATGGCATCGCCCTTTGACGGCATCGCCCTTTGACTTTTTTGGTTGTTAGTTGTTGGTATTTGTCTCGCTCCACCGTCGTCGTGTTATCGCTGCCTGATCTCACCTCACCGTTGTGTATCGCCAAGCATGTTTTGTTCATAACAAAATACTTATTCTAACCCGTACCAAACGGGCCCTTAATTTTTAGAGACTCTTTTGGAGGAGTTGTAATAATGACCCTAATCACAGATTATTTGTATAAAAAATTGTAATAATGACCCTAATCACAAGATTATTTGTATAAAAAATTACTGGTTCAATCTAAGAGGGCAAAAAAATTACATTTTTAGTTAAAAACATGATACTATAGCAAAATAAAAATAACAATAAAATTATATTATGATTAAGCTTTGGATCAACAACATTCGGACTTAATGGTTGAGATTCCAGACCTGTTACTTTAGGAAATTCGAAAATTTTCTTTAGTTGACAATATCATCAATTGGTGATATGAGTTTGGATCAAAAAATTTGATATGATATGTTTATGAACTATTCCAAATCACCAATGGGTGATGTGAGTTTGAGCTAAAGATATATTATGAACTATTCTAAATATGACCTATATTCCAAATCAATATTAGTGGATCCAAACATGATGTGAACCAAAATTTAAATATCAAAATCAAAAGCAAAATTTAAATATCAAAATCAAAAGCTTTGCTTCGAAATACTTAATGAAAATGGTACTCGATCAAAGAATTCTCTATTCAATTTTAAATATGGGTGGGATTCATGATACTCATGATAGACAAAGCCTCTTGGGTCTTATCTTTACTAGTATTGTATCATTATGTAATAGCTTGTCCTTTGAGCTCACGACTAACTTATTTGAACCAAATTAGTTAATTTATGTCATAACCTACTTTATGGAAGAAAAATTTAAAAATTTAAAATATAAAAAAGAAAAGAAAAAGAGAAGATAACATGAGTAAAACAAACTCCTTGACTTTGGAAGATTCCAATTTATGGCAATGGCTTCGGTTCAAGGGCAATTTGGATGACTCCCAATAAATCAAGAAGCTTATATTGGGGAGCTTTATCTACCACATTTAGAAGCAAGTTCAATGGTTGGCCTGTTGGCGATTTGGACTCATTTTGGCGACCCAATCTGTTTCATTGTGGGTTGTCAAAATTTGTCCACGTCATACGGATCAAGGTATGGGTCGCCGTTTTCGGTGCTAGCGAACACGGTCCAGGCAAGCCTATATTTTCTTTTTCTTTTTAAAATTGTGGCCCAAGTGACATTTTAGCCCAGAATACTGTTTATAAGGGCATGTTTGGCTGAAATAAAAGCTAAAAATCAGGTTTTTTTGGTTATTTTTGTCTCTCTTTTTTTCCCCCTCAATAATTAAACTAAAGAGCCATTAAGACACTGCTTGGCTAACACAAACAGTGCCTTAAAGGCTTTTTTGAGCAAAAAAAAATTTTTAATTTTTTTTTTTTAAAATTTCAATGTTCCTAACGGTTATATTGGCTAACCAAACAATTTTTTTTTATTTTTTATTTTTTATTTTTTATTATTTGTTTTTCCTAACAAATTGAAATTTATTTTAAAATATGATATTTTTATTTTAAAAAAAATGTGTCTTTGTTTTCACCTCCATAAATTAATAAATCAATTGATATTAGATATTTTATTGTTTACAAGATATCATACATATTGGCTAAATAATTTAATCAACAAACAATTTAATTATTTATTTCAAAATAAAACATTACACAATAAATATTTCATTACATAAACTTCATAACAATTTAAAAATAAATAAATGCAACATAAATTAAACACTTTCTTCACCAAAGCGGTTCCACAAATTTTCAATTAAATCTTTTATCAATCGCGTGTTTATTTCTTTGTTGCGAATTTGGGCTTGGCGAGAATAGATAAGTGCTGCTAAAACCGATAGATTTTGAATTAAAGTGGGAATCAAGATTGTTGGCATGAGGCTAATCTCCAATGATTATGTTGTGAAGGATGATGCATGCTTTCATTATAAGGCACAAGTCCCTTTTATCCTAAAAATGCACTGGTCCTTGCGTTATTGTTCACTTGATCTGTAAGACCACGAAAACTCGTTCCACATCTTTCCTATAGGCCTCTGGTCTCTGAGCAAAAAGTTTTTCTTTTGTTGTAGTTGGGTGCGGGATGATCTGCATCATAGTTGCCCACTTAGGGTATATACTATCAGATAGGTAATACCCTATTTTATGGTAATGGCCATTCATAATAAAATTAACCGGAGGAATTTGGCCAGTAACGATATTGTCGAATACCGAAGAATGATCCAGCACATTAATATCATCGTGTGAACCCAGCATTCCAAAGAATGCATGCCAGATCCACAAATCTTTTGAGGCAACCTCTTCTAATATGAGCGTAGGCGTATAAGAGCGTCCTTTGTTTGCGCCATGCCACGCCACCCGACAATTCTTCCACTCCTTGTGCATACAGTCGATAGAGCCAAGCATACCCAGGAATCTTCTCTCCTCCCCTTCTCGAAGTAATCGTGCTATGTCAGCTTCGTTGGGTGGGTGTATGTACTCTTCCCCATACACACCAACAACAGCCTTACAATGATCGGCTGCACAACCATATACAAGTATATGTATTGCAGTTGTTATCTTTTGTATAGTAGACAACCCCAAAAGACCAGTTGCATCCCTTTTTTTGGATGAAGTAGTCATCATAAGCTTTAACATCATTCAGGATACGAAGAAATAGTTCTCATTGCATCCTGAATTGTCTGTGAAAGTACTTCGGTGGATATGTGCAATTCTCACCAAAGTAGTCTTTCATTAGTTGACGGTGGCTTTCTACTTATGCGGTTTAAAGACTTACTCTACTATTTCGGGTTCACTGAATTCAAAATCAAACTAAAGACATCTTGATTGTGTTGAATCAACGCGTCAATATGGTTATTTGATGAAGAGGATGATGAAGAAGATGAAGAATTAGAGCCTAACAGAGGAAAAAATCGTGATGAGGAAGCCATTGGAATTTTGAGATTGAAGGAGATGTGAATTGATATTTTGTTAGAATAAGTTAAGATGAATGTAATGATGATGAGATAAACAAATGATTGTTTATATAAGATGAAAAATATAGCCGTTAGGAAAAAGTTAAAAAATAAAATTTATTAAAATTTAAAAAATCTTAAAATATTAATATTTTTGTAGAGCGAAAATGCATCATTAGAGTACATGCGATAGCTAAAATTTGGAGACTCTAAAACGCTGACGTGACTATGGGAAATGCTGATGCGGCTATTGAAAAATGCTGATGTGACAAATTTGCATAGCCTAATTCTAGAGAACCCATTAGAGATGCTTTTATAAGGAAATGAATAATATAATGTTTAGAAACAAGTCCACACACCTCCCCTCCAAACCTTGATTGCTGTGATTGATGCAGTTAGGCTACGACTGTTCTCTGTAAACCAAAGCAAATGCCCAAATGCAAAGAGTACGGGCATGCTTGATTTGTACTATGAAAATCGTTATCAGAAACTCAGAAAATAAAGAACTGTTTTCAGAGAACTATAAAAAATTGTTCTCTAAAAACAAGTCTTTTTATAATTGATTTTTCACAACAATTTTCAGAAAACTGAACCAAGCAGAGTTTTTTGTACAGTTTTCAGTTTTCCGAGAACAGAAAACTATTTCTATAGTTACAATAAAAAACTGTTCTATAAAAAATTGTCTTTTTATAACTGATTTTTCACAATAATTTTCAGAAAACTGAACCAAGCAGAGTTTTTTTGTACAGTTTTCAGTTTTCTGAGAACAGAAAACTATTTCTATAGTTACAAACCAAGCAAACCAACTATCGCCAAGGAATGAAACCTCCCAAAGTCCTTTGATTAGACCCGCACCAATCTTTTCTTTACAATCCCTTGATCCACATACCAACCATGCCATACCTGGTTGCCTCTTTCCCTGTTGTGCACTGTGTTTGTTGATAGTCCGGCATTGGACCATTGGGCCATTGGAAATGCATTGCTTGTATTAAAACAGCTATTACCAATGGGACTCGTTTTGGACTCAAGTCATGGACTGTCCTCCCATGCCATGGGGAATGCCCCATGCTTGCTGTAATTATTTGGGAAAAGAAATGGAGTTTTTTTCAAAACAAAGCAACAATGTGTAATCTTGTGTTTCCAAATTAAAATGAGTAATTACTAATTACCTTATTACACATTTGGAGTTGGCCTATATTTTTTTTTTTTTTGAGGTAAGAAGGTAAGTGTAATCATGAGCATACAGAAGTTCAAAGAATCAATCCCAAGACCACAGCCCTAAAGGGTTAAGCAAACCAAAACTATATATGAGCCTACTAAACAAAGCAACAACCACTAATCCAAAACAATCAACATAGGAAACCCCACCCCCCACCCCCAAAGGAGGCCACCCCTAGCTCTGAATTAGTAATTAATCAAGAGCAAGCTTATTCATTAATGAATACGACACACTCACTCACTACTACTAGCTCCAACACCAGTGTTGTGAAACCCATAGCACCAAGGAGTCCCGAAAAGAAATTATTATGCGTTAGCACGGTCCCTGGGTGAGAGTCCAAAAAGGATTTATGCCATTCCAAATGGTTGAATGTGCAAACCCCCGATTGATTTTATGAAGACATAGGAATCGAAGATGAGATATGGAATGCAAAGGGGACAATGGTTTGGGATATTGAGCTTTTTGTAATTAACAGCTAGCCAAAACAGAAAAACTAGGCTTGGGAATACAACCTTTGAACCAAACCACTTTGCACCAAGGCACTGAGGTGGAGGGTCAAAAAAGTAAGCCTACTATTGTATCATATCTTCTATTACTCAAATCAGCCGGTGTAAAACATGCATACACACACACACACACACACACACACACATATATATTAATATTAGGACGAATTTAATGCCAAACCAAGGGATATCTAGGGTTTGGAATGTTTATTGGATGTATACTTCCGGTTGGCTCTCAATGAATGTCCAATTTGAAAGAAAACACAGCCCATCAAGGGGTAATAATTTTGCCAAGTTAATGTACCTTTGTTTTTGTTTATAGTTTTACTACTCATCATATGGAGAAGAAACATTGGCATCTTGAACATTTCTTTTCGCATTCAGTCATGCTCACACTCTTTCTCTAAAGTCATGTTTCCATTGTGAGCGATTCATTGCACAATTCATGGTCTCGTTAAAGTAGGATTGCTTCTGCATTGGCACTCTTGGGTGTCAGGTCCGGTTTCATTTTCATTCATGTACTAGGTCTTTGATATTCAGGGCGTGACAACGTGGTACCAGAGCTTAGGTCAGAAAAGGGGGAAAACACTTCTAACCTTCCACTGCGCACCCTAGTTGCAGTTCGGCCTAGTTAAGACTGATATAGGTAGTTTAATTATAATATTAATGGAACTCAGTTATGGAAAATGAACCTAAATGGGCAAAGCATCTAAATCTAAATTGACGAATGATACCAATTAACCACATATAAAAGAAAACCAATGAACAATTGAACATTTTATGTACTTTAAATTTTGATTAATAATGTATTATTTGAAACAACATTGTTTTCAGTCATATACAGATGGGAGATAGATGAAAATTTCTCTTAGAACATTCATTAGCTAGCTAGCAAAATATATATTTTGTTGTTCACAGACTTAATTATACATTTTGTAATTAATACTAATTTAAACTAACATATATGTTAGTTTAAACTAGCAAGTCCATCACCAGCAGCAGCCACATGCATTTTCATAACAGCCTCACTTTATACAACAGTTTCCTCCAACACATAGAATCCTATAACATGTATCTTAATTATATATCCAACCTACAATTTCCTTCGATCATTCCTTCAATTTTTCTCAGTTTCGCCTACTATATATCAAACTACATATATATATGATTTATATATATTACACACCACACTAGCTAGAAAATTAAGCTGGAGAATATATAGAAGGCCTAGACATGATACTCATACATATATATATATATATATATTGAATCTGCCAGATTAATTATGAATAGGGGACTTCTTTCTGGCAGGAGTGTAATCCAACATCATCAAATCTCTGCTGTCTGGTACACTAGTGTCTTCCTTTGCCATGAACTTAACATCATGATCATGGCCCTTTTCTTCTCCAATATTACTGTAAGCTCGCAAACTCCGTGCTGCAAATATATTAAAAAACATAAAATTTGATGTATAAATAAATTAATCTAAGAGTTTCTCATGAATAATCAATCCTCATTCAAATCCGAACTTTTGAAGTATACTGATAATATATATATGCATGAGATAATAACAATAATAATGTTTACCTCTAGCAGCGAAAGGGATGAAGCAGAGCAAGAAAAAGAGCACTAGAAGAAGACGTTTGCTTGCAACCACCATAGCCATTTTTCAGTACTTGTATATGTTGTAGTTATTTGATGATAATTTGATTCACTTCAACTTAATTGTACTTGTTTATATAGGCAGATAGTCTTGGACTAGATACTTGTACATGTTGTGCAGTTGGGTGTTGTACTCACTCACTACTAATATTCTGACGATACTCTCATGTGATTATGCAGTTATATCAGCTGGTCATATAGAGTCAACATCAATGTTTTTTCAGTGTCCAAGTTTATAGCTTTTCACAAATTATTATTAATTTTTTATATTTATTTTTGCAAGTGATTTCTCTTTTCAACTAAATTACTAATATTTAGAAAAAGGCTCCTCATCTTAAGCATTTGTTTGCTATCCTCTGAAAGTTAAATTTTCAACTAAACAAAAGTGGCGGGAGCCTTGTGCAATGTTAAAAAAATAAAAATGCATATGGTAAGATGATTTTATCATAAGACATAATTAAAGTGGTGATCTAAAACTCAACGTCTCAAGTTAATGGCGAATCCCATTTCACTTGTAATTTTTTTTTTTTTTGAATATATCAAATCTAAATTTTTTTTAGAAAAAGGAATCCATACTTGCACACACAGAACATAATACTTGCATCCTTATTATTCTACAACATATATTTCATTTCACTTCTTTCTTGGATTTAATAATTACTAAATGTATGTGTAAGCTCCTAATTGGAGTATTATTTATTTATGTTACTATTAAACATCATAATAAATTAAAGTATTACCTTGGTATTGAAAATGTATTGGGGCTCTCCAAGGTTGGAATGAGTTGGAGCATGTTGGGCAGGTTTGTTTAGAAATGAAAACTTATGGTCCATAAGTTGTTGATAAGGGTTTTAACATTATATATATAATTCCATGATATATATATATATAATATATATATTCTTAATCATACTTACAAGATTACAAAGCATTAATGAGGCAGAGGGAGATACCCGACACCCTCACTTCTTTCTACGCAAGTCACGTGGGACACAATGCAATTCATACACCTTGTGGGCACATCTGGTCATTCATGTGCCCATATATGTACAAATCATGTTTTAACTTGCTTAAATATAGACCCCTTTTTTTTTTTAATTGCTAAAATATAGCTCCAGATAGAGACATCGATCTTCTCACCCCATAAAAAAAAAAATTAAAGACTTTTCAATTTGTGAAATTTACAATTTTTCAAAATAAATACTCTTTTTGAAACAAAGAGAGTTTAAAACAACCCATAATTATTTAGGTAGGAACTCATTCTAATATTTAAATAGGTTTATGAAGCTCCATCTTTTAATTATTGAAATTGGGTTTCAATTAAAAAAGTTTAACTCAGACATCAATTGAAGTTAGTGTTGGTGTTAGACAGAGGTAACCTACAATCTAAAGTGTAACCTAAGCTTGCCCTTCCTCTTCCTCCGCGCACGCGTCTCTCTCTCTCTCTCTCTCTCTCTCTCTCTCTGTATATATATATAAGGTAGGGAAGGTATCATTGAATTGGGTGCAATGTTAAGACCCAAACAATACACATGTCGCTCTCACATTTTATGTGAACTCTCATTCTCATATTCAGAATTTATTTTGGCTTTCAATTTTACCATGTGACATAGATTTTGTTATTTTTATTTTTGTAAAAAATTGCCTAATTAGTTCTTTGCGATGGCAGTCCGCCACCCTTGAATAAGAAATCATTTCTTTGTATATAGAATTTAAGTATAAAATAAATAATTACAATATATATATATATGTATATATAACAATTATATTCAACTTTCACGGTAATTAATTGATGTGGCTAAATTTCATACTAACACGTGAGTAAGAGGTATTTTTTCAGCTAATTCTTACCATGCAAATATTTTCAATATTGCCATTACCATTTGGGGACCATTACTGTTGCCAATTGACTTATCAAGTTGAGTACTGCCATGGGACCCACAAAAGACAAATCCAGAAATATAATCTCTCTTATACAATTAATAATTGTCTTTATTGTACAAAACAAATAAAAAAAACAAAAAAATGCATCCTCTGTGTTTTCTTAATCTTATTACAATTTCATAAAAAAAATCAGTATCCTTAATTTTTATTAATTAGATTTTAGTTATTTTTATTTTATTTTTCTTAAAAAAATAATTTTAAAATTCCGAAAATTAACAGAATTCTTTGATTGAATAGTCTTAATTAATTAATGAAAAGTGAAACTTTTTACTTGCCTTTTCCCACCAATTCAATCAAAGACAACCGATTAAAGAATTCTATCAAACTCATCTATATAAAAGAACTATCCGTACTCATATGCATCACATGTTTCATATACAATACGGGCTAATTTGGTAGGAAGAAATGAAATAAGGTAGAAATGAAATGAATCAGAAAATGGAATGAGAATGGAATGACCATTCCCATTCTCTCTTTAGTTATGCATGGCTTAAAAATGAAAAACAATAAACTATATATATGTAAACCAAATATATATATATATATATATATATGCGTAAATATATATTTTCAATGTATATTTGAAAATTGAGAAAGAAATATCAAGAAAAAGTTTGTCTTTTATTGAATCTCGTTGTTTGAGAAAAATGTATTAACAATCACATGATTCAAAGCAATTTTTAATAATATTTTTAATCTGTATTTTTTAAAGTGGGAATAGAATGTCCATTCTTGTGAGAAAGTGGAATGATTTTGATGGAATGACCATTCTCCAAGAAAGATGGAGAATGAACATTCCATCTTTAAAATTACTTTCCAGACAAAAGAATGAAATTAAAAGAATTCCATTCTCGCCTAGAGTTAGAAGATAATATAAAATTGGTAACAAAGAAGAAAACAACTAATATAGTTGTATATGAACTGTAGTATATGAATAATCATTCATAGAGAATAGCGCAACCATATCCATTCAAAAGTTCAAACAAATTAAGCAGTGTCATTATAAAATGGTTTGAAGCCTTGAATGTAGTATAAAATAGTCCCTAATTTGCAGACCACGTTTCAAATAATGGTTTGGCATGTCCACACAAGGAAGTTAAACAAAAACGTACCATTGAACCAAAATGTGCCCAAAATCAAGACAAAGTAGTCTTCACATATCAAGATATGAGAGAGACACCTTCCAAATCACACATAATAGAGAGAGGGCCACACCAGTCTCTAGCCGGCCTGACACCTAGGCTCGAACCAGACAACCGAGCCATGGACCACCTTCTTTATCGAGCCGACAAGATTGGTCACAACCACTTGGAATGATCATTCGAAAGTGTGTTTGGTTGTGTTTCTGTGTCACAACAGTTTCAAGTTGGGCATGAAATGAAAGAGGCACTGTGGTCAGTCACGTGCCATGCTCATGACTTCTGCATGGTTCTCGATTTTTAATGCATGCAATTTAAGGTTGTCATTTGCATGGATTAATTACCTAGGTCACAATCATAATGATCATAATTTCAAGAAGGTGTAGGCCTTATGCAACGGTTGCTATATTTTGACATGAAAATCACTAGTTCAAAATATAAAGATTTCATAATATGAGTGAAAAAAAAAGTTTAATTTCTCGTCATTTCTTATAAGATAGGTGGTTACATTATCGAAGTAACAAATAATTTACGGGAATAGTGAAGATATTGAAGCTCACGTGAATGTGTTGGCCACCTGCCATGCATGCCTGTTCTTGACAAGGGGAGGACAAGAGACAAAGCCCTGTTGCTCTTTCTATATCTTATCTATCTATCTAATCTCCATGAAAATGTTTCATTTGTCTATAGCTCACAATGATGATGACTTTAGTGTGCTATAACTAAGAATCTCCAAGAAACTATAACATATCTTTATTTATTTATTTATTTTTAATTTAATCTTTATCCCATTCTCTTAGAGGCTGCTATAAATGGCAGGTGAGTTTGGTATGATTTTGTCATTTCCAACCAAGAAAATATGGCAAAATTGTCCACAATTCAAGCTACATACTGACATGCCACACTATGCCAAGAATTTGATAGACGTGAGAGGAAGTGGAAATGGAAGTGGAAATGACTTGCATGTGATTCATGGATTATTGAAATAAAGTGAAATCTCATACCACACAAGATGTGAGAATTGAAAAACATAAAGTAAAAAAATAAATAAATCTAAAAACGAAAATAAAATTAGAAAAAAATAGAATACAAGTAAACGGGGGCGGAATCAGGATTTTAGTTCAGAGGGGACACAATGCAATTGTAAAATTTTTTTTTTTTTTTAATAAATATGACAATATAAATTTTTTTTTTAAATCAAAAAGGCAAATAAGAAAAAAATAATTGTAAAATAATATGCTAAATAAATACCGTAAAAAAAAATATAGTTACAAATATAAGAATCAAAATATTAATTAATAATATTTTAATTAAAGACAATCACAAATGTCATCGATTAAAAAAAATAAGTTTAAAAATATAGAAAAATACATAATTATACATAAGCTAAAAAAGAATTTTTTTGAAAAAAGAAACAAAAATTAGAAAAGGAAAAATATATTGTATATTTGAAGAACGAATATATGTAAATTTTTTTTTTTTTTTCAAAAGGAAATTAAAAGAATTTAAAAATTTGAGGGAGAGCACTATTTAAAATTACCATGTAAGTATATATATATATACCAAAAATATATACCTATGTATAGTAAGTTGGAGCAAAGTGAGAGGTGGCACGTGTCCCCTCTGGGCCTTAATTGGCTCGCCCCTGCAAGTAAAGGTAGAAGATTATGAAGTACAACATATATAATGTGCTTCTCACGAAAATGATCATTTAAGAGTGAAAATTACTAAAGTAAAAGAATGCATATGATTTATTTTTATTTTTTAAAAGTTTAGGTAAAATTTATGGGTCCTAACACATACATTAGATAGGTACACAAAAAGACCCCATTTACAAGTGAATTATTATTATTATTATTATTTTTTAAACAAACAAAAATAATTACCACGAGTTAGAAGTGAGCTCTCAAAAGAACAACAGTATCAATGCTTATTTTTAATGTACTATAATAGAACTTCCACAAACAATAATCATTATGGTTTTATAACAAATATAAAAAAGTGGTCAAGGGGTAAGTGTCTTGACTTATATCCAAATTGTCAACAAGCAATCTTCTTATGCCATTCTTTTCTAAAATCATGATTAAGATAATGGCTTATATAGTAATATAGATACAATTATTAGGTAATGAAAGGATAAGTACGCTTTTTCATTAAAATATAATTTGTTATGCAAAAATTACATAAAAAAAAACAAAAGTCTAAACTAATGATATGCTGCCTGAATAATCATATTCTATATACATAATCAAGGAATTATAATATAATAATATACACATTAAGGACACAGAACTACCAAATGCCCCTTCTGTAAATTTTCATACAAAATATACTTCTATATTTCTATTGTACAGGTTTTCTTTACAAGAAATTACAGCTTGCTCGATAGCTTGCACCGTATAACAAGCACAAGTTTGACCGAGTGTTACATTCTGGTAACTCCTGAAACCCTAGGTTCATTTGCAGCATGGCATGTCAGTTTACATTGGGCACTTAACCTGTCAACTATATACAGGAGCAATTTATTTGAAAGATACAGTGGTATGATTTGTAGCAAGGAAGATTGCTTGAAAAATAACTCCAAAGAATTCATCCTTGACAAGACCAGCTGCACTTACATTTTGTCCAACATAAGAAGAAGAAATCCCCGTGTCAGTCTAGCGCTGCTTCATTATTTTATTCGCTTTCCTAGAGAAGTTTCTTATCAAGAATCCATCAGCAAACGTTAAAGGGAGTTCTTCATCGGCCACCTCTCTTTGATCAGACCGGCCTTCTGAACCAGTCTCCTCTCTTGAGCTGCTTTCTTTGGGTGCATCAGTTGGGATGGGTTCTTCAGGTATATCTCGATACAAGTGTTTCAGTATGAAAAGGGCTGTATCAAAATCCCTCCAATAGTTTCTGTCAAAATTTACAATTAAAAAAGGAGCATCAGTAAATAAATAATAACTCTTTTCCGACTTGATATACGAGCTCAAGCTACCACAATATATATAATCTTCCTACATAAATAACAGCTATTGACATGGTCTCCTTGTTCACATGACCTTGAGCTTGTCAGATCACTGGCAAGTGAAGACTAAACCATTAAGGGAGGAGCAATGTTGTTCAGGTTGAAGATGCAGCACACACAAGTGTTAGAAAGATTGAAATAGTGACAAAAAACCACAGGACTTGAGATTTAATAGATAACAAGAACCAAGAAAGGTGGTCGTAAATAAGAATCATACAGCCGACACGAAAACATACTAGACTTATTCTACAAACTACGCACCAGATTCTGCATTAAATTTTAATTTGGTATAAAGCTCTAACCAAGACGAAATACAACCAAACCAGAATCAAGAAAACAACAGAAGGGGAAAAATTTCTAAGATCCACCAATTCATTTTCTTGAGATTTATGAATGATTATCTATCGACATAGAAGCTGATATTATACATGCAAACTGATTTACATTATAGCAGACATTTAGAGGGCAAATAAATATAAGAAAACATGGAAAGAATAAGAGAACTAATAACCAACAAGTTTTGCTTATTATCTGGAAGTGATACTATCAAGAAAACAGCATTTAAATTATCTTATTATTATTATTATTTTTTATATTAAATGGCTACAGCTCTTAAATTCATAGAAAGCAAAGCGATGGCCCATTGTCAAAGCAATAATGGCTGCTTCCACAGCCTGGCCAATATGGCTGTTGCAAAAGCAATATCCAATGGAAATTGTTCATCTAATAATGAGTGTAAATATCTAGTGGGCAAGTGTATACAACACCACTAGCTTTGGAATTTGTGAGTAGCAGGGGAATGCGGGGGCGGGGGAGAGGGTGAGGATGGGGAAGTCTGCAAGTTAGCAGTTAAAAGACATTTAAACTATTCTACCTAAAAAGAGCATAATTAATATGAAGGGAGTAATTTGCATTGCGTTCTGATGTACAGCCTCTAATACAACTATTGTTGGGAAGAATAAAGCAGAGATATATACCCTTTCTGTACTGTTGTTCACTAACTTATCATGAGACTAAAATAAAATGCCATTCAATATGTTGGATAAAAAAATCTGGTCAGGGCTGTGGTTAAGAAAATACTTCACTGGGAAGTAATATTTTTCATATCTATTGTGCTGATTAATGTGTACGTATTAAAACGTCGCTATAGCACGCAAATACGTTGTTGGAACTCCAATAAGTTATGTAAGCACTAAAACACCAACGTTTTGGAAATATAGCCAAAAAAGTAAAGGTTGGCTGATGAACACAGCAGGACTGGTCTCCCACATTCATAGTCTAATCATGCGGCACAACCAATTTGCTCAACCAATATGACAAACGCTTCGTCAACTGGTCATGCAAAGCTTTACGTATCCATTGGGAGCAAAGAATTTTCTGCATGGAGAAGGATTCACTGCTTTTTGTCGCAACTTGAGGCGATAAGGGAAGGAGGTCCCATTTCACAGGTGGCATATGCATTTTTGTGCATCACATTATCCAAAGGATTGTTCTTAACATCTTAATTTCATGCAATCATGGTGCACACAATCACAAAGTTACATGCACTCATGCTTGCCATATTCCTATCACAAACAATGTCCTCCACAAAATTTAACCCTGACAAGCTGTCATAAGTTCACTTGCAAGACAACAAATGAAGAATTTGTATGGATTACAAATTTTTTGAGTTCAAAGTATAAAACGAGTACTTACGTGTGAGACCCAAGAGCTGATATGTATGGATGCTGAAATGTTTTATCCTGCATTACCAAAACAGTAAGAAATTAAAATTAAAAGCAGAAGAAAGGTATTCGTGATAGGTGGAAATTTTTTTTTTCCCCTCATTGGTCCAATTGGAAGGGAAACCAAACAGTTTCATGTTAGAACCTAAGGCTATTAGATTGCAGGCAAGGCAGGAATAGATTGATAATTCTTACTACAGTGTTCCGTTAGACTAGTTTAAATGCCAATCTGTATTGAGAACTCACTTTAGTGAGGTAGCAATTTCAACACCATCATATAAACCAGCCTGGATCAGAACCTTAAATTTAAGGGTTTAGGTTGAGATTTTTTACTTGCTTATTTTATAGGGTAAAGTGCAAAAAAACCCCTTGAACTATTGCCCGTTTGCACATAACCTTCCTGAACTACAAATTGCCCCCTTGAACTATTGATTTGTTGCAATTAAGGACAAACTCATCACAAAAGACTATTTTACCCTTTCTCATTACATTTGTCATTTCTAATTAAACTATTTTTGTTATCTTTTCTCTTATCTAAATATTAATTATACCATTTATCTTAAGTTTATTATTAGTATCAATTTATCATTAAAATGAAAAAATTAATAAATAGATTTGTAACTACCATTCTCTAAAATGATTAACTTATTATTAAAACTTTATTATTTATAATAAAACTTTTTATACTCACTTTAAACTTTTTTACCATAAAAATACCATCTTTTTCATGCAATATATTAATGAAAAATTAATAAATACTTAATTAAAAAATACCTACTTTTTTATGCAATATATTCATTAAAAATTAAGAAATTACTTAAATTTTTTTTAAATTTTCTACTTAAAGATTTTTATTTAAAAAATTAATTAAAAAAATTAAAGGTAAATTTATGCAAATTTAATGAAGAATCTGTCATCAAATTAGTATGATTTTTTTTTTTTTTAATAATTTATTTCAATAAGAAAAATAAATAAGTGTAATTTAATAAAAAATTCCTATGATTCCAGGGATTTTCGTATGAAGATTGACCAACCCACCTTTTAAGGTCATCTTCGTATTGAAAAATTCTTGGATTGGATTAGTGAAGTTGAACGTTTCTTTGACTATCTGAAAATCCGAGAGGAGAAGCAAGTCAAACTCGTGGCCCATAAGTAAAAAGGTGGCGCATCAGCATGGTGGGATCAAGTGCAAACTAGTAGAACCCAAATTTAGCACGGTGGCCCGTTTCAAAGGCAGGTTACGATGGGATATTGAAGAAGAAGTGGCGCTGCAACCGCTATTCAAACTCTCTCAGATTGTCATGACGGCAAAGAGAGCAGAATCGTTATTGGAGAAGTCGAAGAATCGGTCTCGTGGTTCATATAATACCCCACGTCCTACACATGACATGAGTAAACAGACCGCGGTAGCCCCTGTTCCAATGACATGGCGAGGCATTGGAGATGGTCCAACAAAGGCCAAACCCGTAGCACCCATAGGCCTTGCTGGAAGGGGAGCCTTAGTTGTGGGAGAAAATCCCTATGCACACCTAAGTATGGGCAAGTGTTTTCGATGTGGATAACCTGGCCATAAATCCAACAACTGCCCCAAGCGACTGCCAGTAAATCTGGTTGAGCATGAGGAAGGCGAGGGTGAGGAAGGCGAGTACCTTACCTTTGAAGAAGAAGAGGTGACTGAAGGAGACAATGGCGAGTTGTTGTTCCACTCTTTAGTAGCGAGGAGGTTGATGTTCACGCCGACGAAGGAGGAGCACCCATAGCGTCATAATGTATTCCGTACACGTTGCACTATCAACCATAAGGTATGTGACATTATTATTGATAGCGGCAGTAGTGAGAACATTATTTCCTTAACAATGGTTCAAAAATAGGGGCTTGAAACAGAGAAACGTCTCCATCCATGCAAAATTGGATGGATCAAGAAAGGCTCAGTAACGCAAGTAACTGAAACCTGCACCGTTTCATTCTCAATTAGGAAAACATATGCAGAGGAGGTGCGTTGTGATGTAGTTGACATGGATGCATGCCATATGATATTGGGCAGACCACGGCAAATTGATGTCGATGTCACTTACCGTGGTAGAGACAATGTGTATATTCTATATAAGAATGGTCAAAAGATTATTTTGGGTTTGCTGAAAGAAGCCGAATTCCCCAATTATGTTGATCAACAGTGAGGAATTTTTGGGCAAAGTAACAATTGCCCCTGAAATCTTTGTTATATGTGCAAGGGGGAAGTAGTTGAACAACCTCTTTTTACAGTACCACTAGCAATAGTGCAGCCATTACTGCAGGAGTTTAGTGAGTTGGTGCCGGAAGACTTGTTTGATAGCCACCCTCCCATGAGGAATATTCAGCACCACATTAACTTGGTGCCCTGGGCGAGCCTGCCAAATCTACCACATTACTGGATGAGTCCCAACGAGAGTCAGATCTTACAAGAGTAAGTGGAAGAGTTACTACAGAAAGGATTGATTTGGGATAGCATGAGCCCATGTGCTGTTCCGGCCTTGCTAGTACCGAAGAAAGATGGCAATTAGAGAATGTGCGTTGATAGTCGCACAATTAACTGAATCACTATCAAGTATAGATTTCCCATTCCACGGTTGGATGATATGCTGGATATGTTGGCGGGATCAAAAGTTTTCACCAAAGTGGGCCTCAAGAGTGGATACTATTAGATCAGAATCTGTCTTGGGGATGAGTGGAAAACGGCGTTCAAGACAAAGGAAGGATTGTACGAGTGGTTAGTTATGCCATTTGGATTATCCAGCGCGCCAAGTACTTTCATGTGGTAGATGAATTAGGTACTCACACCGTTTATTTGTCGATTTGTAGTTGTTTATTTTGACGATATTTTGGTTTATAGTTAAATAGAGGCAGAACACCTTTTGCACTTGAGAGCATAGTTGTTAAAGGCTCAAGGCGCACAAAAGCGCAAATGCCTCCTGGAGCCTGAGGCGCAAGGCGAGGCGCGCGCCCGACTGAAGCAAGGCACACGTTGAAAAAAAAAAAAAAAACAAAACCCACCTAATAAAGAATTATAGAGGCAATAGTATATATAAAGATGCAAAAGTCAACTAAATGAATTACTTAAGTTCAATATTCAACGTAAAGATGTCAAAGCCAACTAAATCAAGTACTTAAGTTCAACAGTGAATAATAAAAAAAGTGTATTTGATAATGTATTTTAAATCCATGCTTCAGTTCATTTTATAATGTATTTTAAATATCACGAAAATCATGTATCACTTTAAATTTTGTAAGATTTTAAATCACAGTAACTTCACATTTTAAATCACAGCAACTTCACTAATGCAAATTTCACCATTTGCACCATCGTATAAAATTTAGCTCTTTAAAATTTTCAGTATTCATCCTCTATTGAATAATAGAAAATCTATTGATCATGTTATGAAATCCCCCCCCCCCCCCCCCCCAAAAAAAAAGAAGACTTTAAGATGCTGCAAGTTTCAAGGGAAAAGTTCACTGATAAACTCAACAAATAAAATAAAAAAAAAGTTCACTAAAAAAAAAATATAGTAACTGTTATTTTAAGATTAAAATAAAATAGCACAAGATCAAGATAAAAAATAGCAACAATGCAACAACTATGCTCCAGAGTCTCCAGACTTGAGAAAAAAAAAAAAATAAAAAGAAGAAGAAAAAAAAAAAAACTGCCACACTCGACTCGGCCGAGAGAAGAAAAGAAGAAGAAGAATAGAGGAAAAAAAAAAAAAAAACTGATCCGGCTTCCGAGATCCGAGAAGAGAAGGAGCCTAGGAGGAGAGAAGAAGAAGAGAAGGAGGAGGAGAGAAGAAGAAGAGAAGTTGGAGAACTTACCGGCAGAGTCGCCGACGCAGATTCGGCAAATCCAACGCAGATCCGGCTTCCGAGACCAAGTCGTCCAAGTCGCTGACTGCCTCTGTCTTCTTTGTTTACTTTTTTGTTCTCTTTTTTGTTTTTTCTTATGTTGTAACTATCATGTTTTAACTAATAAAATAATAATATAATAAAAACACTAACAATATAACAAATAAACAAAGAATAAACAAACAAAATAATACAAAACCAATCAGGCGCGCCTTTAGAGAGCCTTTCGCCTGGCGCCTTTGAAGTAAAGGCACACGCCTTCATTAACCCAAGGGCCTTAAGTCAATAGAGGTGATGTGATGGCGCCTGGAGGCGCCTTGCGCCTCAGGCGCGTGCCTCCGGCACCTTTGACAACTATGCTTGAGAGAGGTATGCTTTGCAGAAGAATAAGCTGTTCATTAATCTGAAGAAGTGTAGCTTTGTGACCCCAAGCCTAATATTCCTCGGCTATGTGGTTTGTAATGATGGCATTCGGGTAGATGAGGAGAAGGTGAGGGCCATTCGAGAGTGGCCTACGCCGAAGAATGTGGGAGAAGTACGTAGTTTCCATGGCTTAGCCACGTTCTACCAAAGGTTCATCAAGAACTTCAATAGTATTATGGCTCCCATCACAGAATGCATGAAAAAAGGAAAATTCCAATGGGGAGAGGAAGCTGAGATGAGTTTTGCCTTAATTAAGGAAAAACTGTCAACAACCCAATCTTAGTCCTTCCATATTTTGAGAAGCTATTCTAGGTGGATAGTGATGCGTCAATAGTGGGAATCGGAGCACTTCTATCACAAGAAGGAAGGCCAGTAGCATTTTACAGTGAGAAGCTCAGTGAATCACGTAAGAAGTGGACTACCTATGAGTTGGAATTCTATGCGGTGGTGCAAGCTTTGCATACATTGGAGCATTATCTTATCTAGTGAGAGTTTGTGCTGTTTACAGATCACTAGGCACTGAAATCCATTAACAATCAAAACAGTGTTAATCGGATGCACGCGCGATGGGCGACTTATATCCAGCGATTCACTTTCTTGCTAAAATACAAGTCAGGCCAACAGAACAAAGTTGCAGATGCACTAAGTCGGAGAACAGCTTTCTTAGTGACTATGAGGGCTGAAATCACAGGGTTCGAGTGCCTGAAGGAATTATATGAGGCCGACAAAGATATTGGCCAAGTCTGGGCAGCGTGTAAAACGAGCCAATCCTTTAAAGGGTTGCACATGTAGGAAGGATTTCTCTTTAATGGCAATCAGTTATGTATTCCACGGAGTTCTTTGCGGGAGCAAGTGGTTCGTGAATTGCATGAAGGAGGATTATGAGGACATTTAGGGCGTGATAAGACACGAGAGCTGGTAGAAGAACGGTATTATTGGTCGCAACTCAAGCGTGACGTGGAGAACCATGTGTGGCGATGCTTAATCTGCTAAACTAATAAAGGCCAATCTTAGAATACTGGTCTTTACACACCGCTGCCTATATTCCAGATGCTCGATGGGAGGATTTATCCATGGATTTTGTTCTAAGGTTGCCAAGGACGCAGCAAGGAGCAGACACTGTTTTGTGGTGGTCGATCAATTTTCCAAGATGTCCTATTTTATTGCATGCAAGAAGATGAACGATGAAGTCCAAATGGCCAATCTGTTCTTTAAGGAGGTGGTTCGTTTACATGGGGTGCAACAGTCCATTACCTCAGATCGTGACACCAAATTCTTGTTTCATTTTTGGCGGACTTTATAGAATAGATTCGATACCTCTCTTAATTTCAGTAGCACCAGTCACCCCAGCCTGATGGCCAAACAAAGGTGGTGACTAGGACCCTTGGAAATCTAATTCACTGTATTTCAGGAGAGAAACCAAAACAGTGGGATCTTGCTTTTGCCCAGACAGAATTTGCTTACAATTGCATGGTTAACCGGTCTACTGGCAAATCCCCGTTTGCAGTTGTGTATTGCTGTCCTCTAAAAGTTGCTTTGGATTTAGTATCCTTACCGAAGTTGTCGGGGAAGATTGTTGCTACAGAGAAAATGGATGAACACATTAAGACCATTCAGGAGAGTGTCAAGAAACATCTCGAGGAAACTTACGCCAAATACAAGGCTGCAGCTTTCAAGAGACGAAGGAAAAGAGTATTTGAAGACGGGGACCTGGTTATGGTGTATCTAAGAAAAGAGAAGTTTCCAGTGGGAACATACAACAAGTTGAAGGTTAAGAAATATGGTCCATACCAGATTCTAAGGAAAATAAATGACAACGCCTATGTGATTGATTTACTTGCTAACATGGCCATTTCTTCTACCTTAAATGTGGCTGACATAGTTGAATATTATCCGCCAGATTCGGGTAACTTGGGGAGAAGTTCTTTTTATTTAGGGAAGACTGATGTAGAATCATCTGAGCATACAGGATCATCCCTAATCAGGGAGACTGAAAAGGTAAGAAGAATAGAAGAAAAAAAATAATAATAAATAAGGAAAAGTCAAAAGGAGATTTGGTGCCATTGCCAACAATAGAAGATATTATTCTCCATTGCAAGAATTAAGGAGGATTCATAAAATAAATAAGAAGATTTGGTGTAATTGCCAACAATAGAAGATATTATTCTCCATTGCAAGATTTAAGGAGGATTCTGCTCCATCCTGTGTTACCTGGACTCGCCTGTTCAAGCCAAAACGTCTGTGTCGACACGACACGACACGGACACCGACATTGGATTTGAGTCGAATCCTTCATGGCATCTACCGGACACGGCTGATAGATGACGAAAACTCAAACAAAGATGTTTGGGTTGGTACTTGTGAAGGATTGCGAACTTTCTTCATGCTTTATTTGTTAAATTGGTTGCCATTAATGAGGTCAGAAAACTTACTGGTACAACAATGGCGGTTTGCTTCAAAAGTAGCGTCTTTCAAAGGTTAAAGAAGACTGAAGTGTACGCTCTTCGTTTGCACAAAATTTTGTAATGGCCGAGCATGTTTTCACATTCTTACTAATGCTTTTAATACCCTTCAACGGTCACGATCATGCCACTTGTCAATTTGGATGTAAAAATATGGGAGAGTTTGGTCTTTTAACAAGGATAATGTTTTACGGTTGTAAAACACTATCTAAGGCTATGAACAATTTACAGCTGTACTGGACAGGTGTATTATTTTATTTAAGTAATATATATTGGTCAATCTTGAGCAAAATTTTTGACCTTTATAGCTTTGACAGTTTGACTTTATAAATAAGGTAATATTATTATACAAGTTGTATTACCTTTTTTTTTTTTTTTTTTTTTTTTTTTTTTTTTTTCAGTAAATCCATTCGTTAAAAAAAAGAAACTGTACAAGGAAAGGCCTAGCCCAAAGGCAGCCCGGAAAAACAAAACAAAAACAGGCCCACACAGGAGCACATTGCAGTTGCATCCACAACTGTAAGAACAGGTACAAGTGCAACAACAGAGCAAAAAAAGAAAACCTGCATCACAAAAAAAATAGAGCTTGGAAGGCTCCACGCTGCTATCTTTACATTTATTCAATTTTTCATTAAAAAACTGAGGTCTAACAAAAAAAAGGGTACATTTTTTTCTTTTCCTACAAGTGTCCAAGTGTCCGTGTCCAACTTTTGGACACTTTTATTCCATGTCCCCGTGTCCTATAATTTGATAGATGGATGGATCCGACCTCTAGACACACACCCATGTCCGACACCCGAACCCGAGTCCAGGTAACATAGTCCGTGTCCAACTTTTGGACACTTTTATTCCGTGTCCCCGTGTCCTATAATTTGATAGATGGATGGATCCGACCTCTAGACACGCACCCGTGTCCAACACCCGCACCCGAGTCCAGGTAACATAGGCTCCATCAGATCTCAGATTTCTTTTTTTTAATTTATTTTTGACTTGCCTATATGAAGGCAAGAGATGTAAGTATGCAGGCATCATTATTATCAATATAATTTCAGTTTCTCTCTTGTGAGTGTGTTCTTTGTGAATTCAAGGGTTTAACCCATTTCTTTATCGTTTCCGCTACGTTAATATTTCTAGCATATTGTGTGATCAATAAGGACTGACCATGCTTAGCGGGATAAATTGTTGTACGGTTAGAAACAACGCATTTAGGAAATGAGTGTGGTCAAAATGTGAATGTTGTGATGTATGCATGTCATGAAAAAACAAAAAAAGAATTAAACAAATTTGTGAGACGGAGGGAATTAAACCTACTGGAGATAAAGTAGAGACAAGTGATGTAGTTCACATAGAGAGCAACGCTAGGGGAAGAGGAAGATCAAAATTAACACCAATTGAGAGAATGAGAAAGGTATGGAAGCATGGGGTTTAATTGAGATTAAAGACATAGAATGGAATGGTTAAACGAGATTCATGTAGCCGACCCTAACAGTTGCGAGAAGGATTTGTTTTTTATTTTTTGGGAAAGGTGAATTAGCAAGAACAATTTGTTGAGTTGAGTGTGAATATATATATATTTTTATTAATCATTCATTTTGACTTTACCATTTATTAACTAATTTTGTCACTTGAGAATACTACTATGATATTGTTACATCATGACATAAATGTTTATAAGAATTTAAAGTACTTGGGATATTGTGACTACATAATAAACTTCTACATTGTACAGTTGACTTCTGGCACCATTTTAGATATTGAAACTCATCTCATTCTGTGTGGATGTAAGTCATCATGTCACACATCAGCTGCCACACAGATGATCATGGAAGGCATCAAGACCCAATTACACATCCATCAAGTGTAGTATACAACGAAATATGAGTGGGGATGCATATATGATACATCATAACGGCAAGAAGAACTGCTCAGGATCCACGTATTTATATGGACTCATGGAGACTAGGTTACTCTTTTCTCAAGTTGAGGGTGATCCATGCAATATTACATCCCATACCCTACTTGGTCCGCTCTAGTAAATGGCACCTTAAAAGAACCAGCCAAATTTATTTAATTACTGATTGTTGTTCCAATGGAGGATAATTCTAGTGCAACAATTTTGCTCCCCATTAGTGCAAGGAACTGAGGGAAGAAAACAGAAATTACACAATTAAGATGCCTCATTCCAGACAAGAACATCTGTCATCGTTATTGCCACAATGTAGGACTTCAAATTTGTTTTGTCACAGGAGTTTTCCAAGTTTCTATCTTGGTATTAGTTATTTATGCAATTTTATCATAAGGAGATGAGCTAAATAAATAAATCAGTGATGCATGCCTCAACTCTGTTATGTGGAGAAAGGAAAAATCACAGCATGAGAAGCTACTTCATATCAGAAAGGAAGTTTCACATAAGGAAGAACATTGCTTAAAAAAGGAGATCCATGCTTTACCAGGCACAAGTTCAAAGTCCCATAATAATGCAATTGAATATGAAAATGTGTTCAGCTATGCGTAAGAAACAATTGCAGATCAAGTTTCTATATGGGGAAAGGGGAAAGACAGCAAGAGAATAAAATATGTAAAACAATGGTAAAATAAAAAATATGGTGCAGCTTTAGTACTTCCCAAAGGATCAAGATCAAGATCCAAACTAGTTAAAACCTAAAGTGTCAGCACCAGTTGGTAAAAATACATACTTGAAGCACATGGTCAATTCGTCCATCTTCATTCCCAGTTAATCTCTCCATCATAATTGAACCATATGATCTCTCATATTTTCCTTGGGCATTTTCTGATTCTTCTGTAAAATATAAACAAACTAAGACACATTAAAACATTGAACTATAGTAATTAAAGGTATTTTTTAATCTTTGTAGGGAGAAGGGAGGAGGTAAAATGAAATAAGTTGTTAAAGTGAACAACAAGCGGAAGAAGGTAGGTTTTATTACCGTCAAGGCCATCTTTGTTTCTTGATTGGCAGAATGTGAGTACTTTAACCTATCCAAAAAATGCTCAGTTCAGAATTTGTAGTTTGTTTCATATGACTGGGAATCAAACGCCATAAATATACACTTGCAAAATCAAATCCAACGGACTGAAACTAAATCAAGTTAGTTTGTGATATGCTTATAGGCTCAGAAGTCAAGAACCAACATAGAGCCTTGGAGCAACAGGCTCAATTCAAGACCCAATGCTAGATCAACTAAACAGAGCATGATCCCTTTTACTTTTTGACATAATACATATGCACTTATGAACAAATAAAAGTTGAGTTGAGAAATGGGAGCCAACAGTGCTCAAGGTTTATTTTCTGTTGAGACTAAAGAAAACCAAACTGATAAGTTTTGTTACATGGTGGCTGTCATCATTGACAAAAGAAATTGCAGAAAAAAAGGTGATAAATCAAGAACGTAGGCCAGCTGTCGTGGATGAACAGGTTCTGAAAAAAAGAACTTGAGCAGCTGATCTTATTAAATTTATAACCAAAGAAGGGTCAATTATATTTTACTTCAGTCATAAGAGTCATTAAATCCTTCATCCTAGTTTTGGACCTTTTGGCTTATATTTGATTTTAATGTGGTTAGGTATTCTGGTAAATTCTAGAACTGGGTTGGCTTATGGCTCTATCTGTAACAGGTTTTATGTCGATGGATTTTAATTTTATTCAGTAGGCAAAGTTACTAGGGTTGAAGCATTTGAAACCCAACCAACTTTCTTAGACTAAGTAAGCTGAATAAGGCATATAAAAATGTGTTCTCGTATAGTCAAAAGGAAGATTCTGTGAAATAAAGAAGTTCAAATCCTTATATTCTAAAAATGTGCTCTAATATACTTCCTTCTTAGGGCCAGGTTTTTATCCCCGTATATCATCGAATTCGAGCCTACATTGCTCAAGCTTGCAAATTTCTTACCAAAAGATCAGAGTTTCACAAGTTTTCGGTCTTCATACAAGTGTTATTCACCGATTTTGATATATATATGTTAGAGAGTTCTAGGCTTTGATTTCGCTCTAAAACCAAGTTAAAGTGAAAACGATGTTGTGTCTTAGAAGTATCAGGGAAGAGGAAGAAGGAAGGAGAAGAATTCTGTAATTAAATATGAGAGTATGTTAGGGTTTCTCACACCCTCACCTATTTATATTGAAAGGATAAAAATAAAATAATAACCTTAATGAATAATAGAAATAAAAAGGCTAACTCTCTAACAATAAATATATATATATATATTGAATTCAGGTTCACTTCAATATAGTGATTGATTCTCTGCCAGACCAAAGAAGGATGTAAAAAACCAAAAGGTTCTGAAGTCTCAAAGGAAGAAAACTTATCAATGGATATATGTTCCAGTACATATAGTATCTATCATCATCATTTGCATTTATCCCATATAGAGCATCCGACCGAGGAAGAAAAGAAAGAATCACTGTCGGAACAGACTATATATACAAAATAAAATAGTTTAGACAGTGGAAAATTACAAGCTGGAGGAAAAAATACGACAGAAGATCCCCAACACACACACACAAAAAAACAAAAAAAAAAATCCTAAAAAGCATTAAATGTCCGAGCATGAGCAATCTCCGTCTCACCCAAACTTTACCATATATAGGTCCACTTTAAAAATATAAAAAATGCATAAAATATTTAGCCCCAAAAGTACCCCTAAATACTTAATTACAAAAATTAATCACCAGTTATCCAAATTATTTTTTCATATCAGTATCCATAAAACCACTTCTTTAAGCCAGTTGCTAGAGGGGTATAATTATCCACTAATTCTAATGATGACCGACTCTTAAAATCCGACCTTTCAGAATAAAAAAATTCAATGTAACACAAAAAACCAGTGCTGAAAAAATAAAGCATCGAGCAACCATTAAATGAATTTTCAAATGGAAACACAAGGAAGAGAAAGAATAACACGAAAAATATATCAACATAAAAAAAGACATATTTTCCCACCATTTTAATAACCATGACGAAATTCCAAAGACCTCACAAATTAAGCATGAAGCTTATACATACTAACCAACTGTCGCAGACATCAATTCCCAGCAGTTTCAGTTCAGTACCAATTCCAACGGATAGACTCCTTATAGATTCATTGAATAAGGGCAATGATGACTCAGCGAAACAAACACTACAGCAATAGTATCTTTAAATAAACCTTATAGAGGAGAGTACACAACAAAATACTAGATACAGATAGCCACTAAGCAGGGAGGAACAAGATGTATATGAACAAACTATTTATTTTAGGCCAGTGGGTCCCTACTTTCCAAAGGGAGGTCAGGGGTTCAACCCTCAGTGGAGGCATGTGTGTGAGTACCAACTAAGAAAAAAAAAAAATATATTTATTATGTTGATAGCAGAAAATTAATATAATATTTATATTATATATATATATATATACATATATAATTATATATCAATCATATATTCAAGTTAACTCAACTCAACAAAGACTTATATTTGGGATTGGCTACATCAATTCAGTATTCCAATTCCACCCATCTAAAGCCAGAAAAATTACATGCTACTATATCTAAGCAGAGCCATGTGACGAATTCTCGCAGATGGCCAATGTGCTGCAAAATTTTGGAAAGAAATTGCATTTGAACTCATACCCTAACTAGTTCACAAGACCATCATTTGCTTAATATAGTAATATTTAGAACAGCACAGGCAAACATACACATGCGAAGAGTAAACTAAAAAATAAATTAGGATGTAATATAACTTTGGGAAGTCAGGGAGCCCACCCTTACAGAGCTTAAATGAGCCATTACTGCCTGAGAACGTGAAGCACAATCTTCAGCAAATTCCTGTATTACAAAGTATGAGTACAGAACAGGGAGGGAGGAAGTTAATCCACTATTACATGACAGTTACAGGGCCTTACCTGAAATCCAATGTGCAACCTTTTTCCACCTCTATGGTATGGGATAATGACAGGGCGTTTGCCAATGTATTCTTTACAAACAAGTGGTTCTATTCTGAGGGAAAAGCCAACATAGGTTCATGTAAGCATTAATTCTATTTAAAATAAACTGAACAAAAACACCTAATAAATAGGAATAAAGAAGTTTTAAGATTTGTGTATATGTGTGCCTAAGGAATTGGAATAAGGACATTTTAAGAACGTAAATGCGTGCACGCATGTCTATGGGTTGTGTATGTGCATGCGTGTGTGAGGTGTGTATATATGTGTGTGCATGCATGCATGTGTTTTATTTGTTTTTTCATTGTGTGTGTATGTATGAGAGAGAGAGAGAGAGAGATTGTAATATTTGCAAGTATTCAGGTGGGATCTATATGTATATTTCATTTCCATCGGAATAATCCAATTTCTTTTCTTTAATTTTCTTTTTTCCTGATAGTTGGGGTAGTAGAAAAAATATGGAATGAGGAAGGGATTATCTGTGTATGTATTAATAGCAGCACAATAGTCAATGGGGTCAAACCATCCTGTTGAGATGACCTGATTGGAGGATAAGAACCATAAATCAACAGACAAGTTTATTAAAGGACCCACCACCACTGCCAAAGAACAAGAAACACCACCAAGCCTTTTCCCAATTATTTGGGGTCAGCTACATGAATCCCATGTTTCAATTCCGCTCTATTTAAATGCCATACCCTCAGTCAATCCACAAGCTATCATATATTTCTTTACTAAGTTTGGTCTTCCTCTTCCCCTAGTATTACCCTCAATGTGGACTATGCCAATTTTCCTAACTGGCACACTTAAAGCTCTTCTTTGCTCATGACCTAACCATCTTATTCTATTTTCTCTCATTTTATCTCCAATTGGTGCTACTCCAACCATCTCCCGAATGTGACAATTTCTAATTCTATCCTTTCTAGTCTTACTGCATATCCACGGATCCACCTCATCCACCACAATTGCCAAACATTCTGAAAAATGACAGGAATCAAGAGATCAGACTCGAGTTACTATTAGATTGGATAAGCAATTAAGTTGCTTATGAGCAGCCATGCATGACATCAAATTTGCCATGGTAATGATACCTATTCCTATATTTCACTACAGGAAGATTTCAGTATCATTGCATATTCATACACACACATGCACACATACTAGCATTATGCTGGAAAGCTTTCCACAAACTGTCCCATGGGTACTTTTGGAAAACTCCCCACTCTTTTGCCATATTAGGCTTCTTGTTTCGCCCGTTCTTGTTATTATTTCCATGTATGGAATTTTAGAAATTCGCACAATAGAACTTTTTGCCAATTCAGCATGGATGGTAATGTTACATTTCTTAAGGTTGTTCAGCATACCCTATAAAAACCCATTATATATTCTGCAAGTGTGAGTGAAAAACAATCACCATCAGGTCTAGAGCCAAAACCTCTTTCTCTTTTTGTATTGGGTAGACAGATGTATGTGTGTGTATGCAAGTGTTACATCTCTTGATTCACTGCCCAGTGGCGAAGGATTTTTGGGTTATGTTCTTGGTTGCTTTTGGATTGACTTGTGTTAGAATTACAGCAGAATTATTCATTAATTGGCATTACAGTTGTATTGCTGAGCTGTACTTACTGTGAATTGACTATTTGTTTGTATTTTTTATTAGTTTCCTTATTTTGTGTGGTAGGTAGGATCTCTAGAAATTAATTCAGGATTGTATAGTTGTCATTGACTTTGTATAGCTGGCTGTTTAAGAGCGTGTTATAAATAGGTTGTATCCTATCCTCTAAAGGCAGAAATATACAGATTATTCCTCATCTTTTCTTCTTTTCCGCAAATATGGTATCAGAGCCGGACTGCTGAATCCAACTTTTTTGTGCCTTTTTTTTTTTTCCTTTCGTCTCTCTTCCAGCCCAGCCTTTGTGCCTCTTTGTGGCTGCTCTCTTCTATCGTATTTTTTTCTCTTCTTCTTAAATGGTAGAAACTCCAACTCCGGTTGTGACAAAACCAATGATTCACTTTGATAACCCGACCCTCCAAATTACTCCTGAGAAACTCAATGGAAAATTTTTCCTTGAGTGATCCCAATCAGTGCAGCTTTTCTTCAAAAGTAAAGAAAAAATGGGGTACCTTCGAGGGACCATTAAAGAACCCAAAGAATCTGATCCTTTTTATGATTCCTGGGAAGCGGAAAATTCCCAAATCATGACATGGTTAATTAATTCCATGACTCCAGGAATTAGTAAACCATTTCTCTTCCTTTCCATTGCAAAAGAAATATGGGACAGTGTGACTCGGATCGGAGCTACTCTAAGAAAGGAAGGGCTCCACGAAAGTTTGAGCTAAAAAGGAAAATTCACAACACTGAGCAGGGAGACTCCTCCGTGACAAAGTATTTTAATACTCTTATGGTGTTATGGCAGGAGCTAGATCTTCACCAACACTTTGAGATCAAGGACGCTGAAGTCGCTAAACAACTTGCTGAGTTCTTGGAGGAGGATCGTGTTTTTGAATTCCTTGCTGGACTCAACTCAGATTTTGATGAAGTCAGTGGGAGGATTCTTGGAAAGGAGCCTCTTTGCTCTTTGGAGGAAAGTTTCTCGTATGTGAGTAATGAAGAAGATCGGAAAGCAGTTCTCTCTAAAACTGTTGTTTCCGAAGTCTCTGCCCTCAAAACTGAAGGAGTTTCGTTCAATGCTGGACTGTATAAAAATTCTAATAAAAAGGGAGAAACCGACTCAAGGTGGTGTGATTTTTGTAACAGACCACGGCATACGAGACAAACTGTTGGAGATTGAATGGGAAACCTCCCACTGCAGACAAGGGAAGTCGCCCATAGCAAAGGAAATCCTTTCAAGCAGTGGCTGATTCTACATAAAACAATACAGAGGATTCCTCTAATGACCAGATTTTCTCTAAAGCACAACTCGACGCAATACACCAAATGCTGGGCGTGCTGGTTTCTCTGGTATATCAAATTTTCTACTAATAATTCCGTTTCCACTAGCCACTTTGTTCAGTCAGGTACTAACCCCACTGCCCTCCTGAGTAACGCCAATAAAACTTGGATTATAGACTCTGGAGCTACAGATCACATGACTGATAACTCCTATGATTTTTTAACATATAATTCGTGTTCAGGCAAAGATAAGGTTCAGGTTGCTGATGGGTCGTTTGTTCCTATTCATGGTTTTATCCCTATATCCGATACTTTGTCTCTCTCATCTGTCCTACATGTCCCGAACTTTACCTGTGATCTTTTATCCATTAGCAAAGTCAAAAAAAATCTAAACTGCTCAGTGACTTTTTTTCCTACTTCTTGCGTGTTTCAGGATTTAACCTCGGGGAAGAAGATTGGCAGTGGTGAAGAGAGAGACAGGCTGTGTTATCTGCATCCTGGAAAGGTGACTGCTCAGGCCCATACTTCAGTCAGTAATAAAGAAAATCTAATATGGTTGCTCCATTTCAGATCTGGTCATCCGAACTTTAAGTCTCTTAAAGTGTTATATCCTGATTTGTTTTCTGGTTTAGATCTTTCGGTTTTTCAGTGTGAAATTTGTGAACTTTCTAAAAGTCACCGTGTTCCTTTTCCAATTAGTAATAAAATTTCTGTTATTCCCTTTTCTATGGTCCATAGTGATGTTTGGGGACCCTCTTGTGTCCTATCCTTGTTTGGCTTTAGATGGTTTGTCAGTTTTATTGATGATTGCACTCGTACTTCTTGGATTTATTTGCGTCGGAAAAAATCTGAGGTCAGTAATATTTTCAAGTCTTTTGATATTTTTTTTTTTTTTTTTTTTTTTTTTGATAAGTAAAAATATATTAGAAAAACGTTCAAAAGGGGAACGCATCCCTAATACAAGAGAAAAGATCTAAGGACCAATAAAATCCAAGAGATCAAAGAAATCATCAATCGAGGAGCATGTACTTCCTCTAACATAAAAGAATAAAGAACGAAGAATATAAAATTTTAAATTAGCTAAGGACGATTCTTTTCCTTCAAAGGATCTGTTATTTCTCTCACGCTACAAACACCACCAGACACAATGAGGAACAATCTTCCAATAAGCACGAGCTTGTTTCTTAACAGGACAGCTTTTCCAAGCGTTAATCAATTGAGAGGAGTGCTTAGGCATTACCCAAAAAATGCCGAATATGCTGAAAATAAAACTCCAACAACCAAACGCCACAGGACAATGCAAAAGAATGTGATCCACGAATTCACTATCATCTTTGCATAAACAACACCAATTAACAATGATGTTGCCTCTCTTTCTCAAATTGTCCAAAGTCAAATCTTCCCCAATGTAGCTGTCCAAACGAAGAACGCGATTCGAAGAGGGGCTTTAGAGCACCACACGGACTGCCAAGGAAACTCGGAACCAACAAAATTGGATAAATGAATAAACATAGAGTGGACATCATACCGACCATGAGCCAAAGGAACCCACAAAATATCATCACACCCTCTGCCTATACAAAATATCCAAAAAAGCAGAGACTTCCTCCATTTCCCAATCCTGAAAAGACCGCCTAAACCGCACATCCCACGTAACTCCATTGTTATCAAGATGATAACAATCAATCACGAAAACATGCTTATTAGTTGCAATGCTATAAAGCCTAGGAAATGAGTGTGAAAGCAACTGGTCGCCACACCAAAGATCCTCCCAAAAACGAACATGCCTGCCATTACGAACTTTGAATCTAATAAGAGTAGAGAAGACATCCCATCCCTTCCGAATAAATTTCCACAAACCAACGCCTCCCGTAATAGTGACTGGAAGAGATGACCAACCCCCACTCCCCTCACCAAAACGACACGAGACAACTTTTCTCCATTGACGATGTCGTTCCCTTCCAAATCGCCATAACCACTTTCCTAAGAGAGCACGATTAAAAGGAACAAATTTTCGAATGCCTAACCCTCCGAATCTCAATGGTTGGCAAACTTAATCCCAATTAATAAGATGATACTTAAACTCCTCTCCCCTTCCACCCCACAGAAAATCCCTCTGAATTTTTTCAATTCTATCAGCGACAGAACATGGAATTTGAAAC